TTCAGTCATTTGTAGGACATTGGATGGAACTTGAGGTGATAATTCTAAATGAAATGTTAGCCACTGATTAAATATCTCACGGTTTCCTTAATATAAGAAACAAGAAATATCAATAAAGAGCAAAATACAAGAGATAAGTAGACTTTGTAGAAATGGGAAGAGGACTTGGCTAAGGAGGCAGGGAGTGGCTAAGGGCAAAAAATGATCAAGACGAGATAGGTATATGTATTAATCCACAAATGGAGTGCAATCACTATGTACTGCAAATATATACTAATAATCTAAGAAAAATTATGTAAAAATAAAAAATGAGGAATGACTGCAATTATGTGAAATATATTATGAATGAATATAAGTATATGAATATACACATATTCTTTCTGCATATCTATCTATCTATCTACCTATCTAGATATGCAGAAAGAGAGAGAGACTGTCACTGGGGAACAAACCCTGGGCCTTGTGTGAATTAATATTTTCTACCACTGAGATGCAAGCCTAGCCCTGATACGTTCCTAAAAAGTGTTAATGTTTCCCTGACAAAGTACCATGAAATACCTCGGGAAACAGCATAGGAAACAATGTAGGAAGAAGCTTCCTTCAAGTTATTTTATCTTGTCCTGTACAACAGAATCAAGACAACAAGAATTAGGGCTTCCCTGAACACATTGTTACATATAATTTTTATTGGTAGAATTATTTTGCTCAGAGATATATTGTCTAAAATAGCAAATCAGAGCTATTTTAAATTAATACTTATATGTGTAAACACAAATGGAAGCTCTAGGCAGCACTTTGAAATCATCTAATCAGGTCCTCTCCTTTTTATCTTCAAAAAAATTTCATTCAATTTTCTCAGTTCTCAAAATTTGACTCAGAAATGTGAGAATTTGCAGACTTATCGAGAGAGAGTTGTAGTTCCATCTGCTTTCTAATTGAGTTCTCAATGGCATTTATGCATTTTACTCTAGTTAACTTTGGGCATAAAACTGCTTCCCGTTATTTCCAAATTCTCAAGCTCTTCAAATTGAGTCATCTGATTTTGTACAAAGTATAAAACCATCTGTGACATCACATTACTAGTATTTATCTGCACATGCAATAAGTTTCCTGAGCAATATTCACTGAATCTATTTGGTTAACAAATATTTACTTTGTATCCATTAAGCTGTAATCAGTTATGCTAGGGACCAGGGAGAAATAATAAAAAATAAAAGCTACAGACCTTCTATCGTGGAGAACACAATATAAAGAATCAGAAATATTATCAGAATAATTGAGAATTTGAACCCATAAAAGTTACTTAAACTAAAAATATGCCTTTTTATGAGTAAAAATAATATAATTAGGAAAGGCAAAAATATTTCTGAGATAAAATTTTAGCTCCAAGGAAATCAATTTCCTAGTGCACTGTTCTTGAGCAGAGATCTCAGAGACTTGTTTTGTAAATTATAGACTGACTATTTTACATCCTTGACTGGGATGGGTAGGTTTTTGCTGAATTCAGATGCCTTTCTTCTTGTCTCTATACAAAATATTTTGGGCCTTATTTCTTCAGCAACTATACTTCTTTTATCCCCAACTCTACACGTGATTCTTTTGAGCCAAAATATTGGTTTTTCAAATGTTTCTGCTCTATTTTCTGCTCTCAAAACCCAATATAAGTCTAGCAAAAATGAAGTAGCATCACCTGTGCCACGGCATAAATATTGAACTGTCTTAAAATTTCCTCCACCAAGTCAATTCATTCTTCACTCTAATATCAGTCCCCTACAAAGTCTCACAATGTTAGCAAAATGTAGACAAGTTCTTTGCCTGAATATGACATGCACACCTTCTAGTCCAGTTGCCATAGAGTTCTCAATCCCAAATAAAACCTTTAAGAGCCTGGCCTTTATTGGCTGGATTCCTATCAGAATTCTAGTCCTCTGAGCCCCAGCAACAATGATCCATCAAGCTTTGCTTTCATCCTTATCCCTGTTTTGCAACCTTTCCCAAACCCTCCCACAAATAAATTCTAGCATTAATCACATGGTCAAACAATCTCAGCAACAGCCCCACTCCTGGTATCAATTTTGTGAACTGGTCAGTTTTCCTTTGCTGACACAAAGTACCCAAACCTAACAACAAAAAGGAGATACTGATTATTTTGGTTCGTTGTTTCAGAAGATTTAGTGCATAGTTAACTGGCTCTTGGATACAAACATCATGGTGAAAGAGCATGACAGAGCAAAGCCTCTTACTTTATGGTGGCTACGAAGCACAGCATTGGCATAGTACCAGATAGACAAGGACCATGGACCAGATATAGACCAGAAGGTCATGCCTTCATGACCTACCCAGACACCTCAAGAGAAGTGCTTTATTAATACCTTGGGGAGCTCTCAAGCCAATCAAGTTGACAACCTAACTTAACTGTCATAATGTAATATTAATAACACCAACATAATTTTATTACCTAGTGATTAATTAATTAGAATTTACTGGGTGCGATCGTCATGTTGAATTTTTCATATGTACTAATTTAAAAGTTCCTTTTAGTTTTAACAATATGTGATTCATTGTCACAGCATGGTCTCAGATACAGCAGAGCCTAAGGGAGAGTTTGGAGATACATTAAGGTTAACAGATGTCATTAATAATGTGATGCAGTTAAACAATCACAGCTACATAATGCCAGGGGTAAAGCTGTTTTAAAATATCATGATCATCATAGAGTCAAGAAAATTAGCATTATTTCCTCTGTTAATTTCCAAACTTGCTGAGGACAGATCCAATAATTCATCATACCTTCACAGTTTATTGATTGCAAAACATTCACAAATCTAACATTTTATTTGATGTGACTACCAGGTTTGCGGTTAGTTGATGGAAGCCACAAGTTAAATAGTTATGAGAAAAACATAATATTAATGGTGTGGATGATAAAGACAATTTAGAATTTAAAGAATATTTTTCAGTGGAGCTGATTAATCTTTACAAATATTTCATTAGTCACATCACCCTGCTGTCAGAGGAAGTTTATTATGTGGCAAATAAAATAAACAGCCATCAAGGGCTATTCAGATAAGAAAAGAGCTCTGCAATGCACAGTATGTGCAGATAAGTGAGAATATGGAAACAAACATATCAACTTACCTTTGCAGGCAGTGATAGAAGCAATATTGGCATTGGAGTAACTTGAAGCCATAAAGACAAATAAGTGCATGATGGAATGCATGTGTATCTGTGTAGTAGGCCACGGGTGCACCTGAAGAGTCATGCACACTACAAGTAGTGCCATGAAAAAGTTCACCTTACTCACACCTACTTTCCAGAGAACTGTGATGTCCATTAACACCAGAAAACCAAGTGGAAATGCCTTGTTTGGTAACTCTATTAGACAGCCATTAGTCCATACAAAGCATTCCACATTTCAGTATTGTAAAACAGTAAACATGTATGAGCACATGGATTGGATGGATGGTGTCTTTTGGCCAATTTAGATGTTTTGAGGAGTTTACACGCATCTGTGTGGTCAACTCCAGATACCTGGGGGTTTCTGATAGTCTTTTGAGTCACATAGACTTCATTCTTAGCCTGAAATCCTTCCAAATGGGGGAGGGGAAGATTTCTTGGAGACAGCAGAATAGAATTCTTCCTTAAGGCTGGGCTGGGCTCCAGCACAGAGTCATTTCTGCCTCACTGAATTGTCCAAGGAGGTCACAAAGCCTGCCCAGCTACAAGTTTAGGACAGAAAGACTCCAACTTCTGATTGGAGGAAATGCAATGCTCACATTGAGAAAGCCTAAGCATATGTAAAAACAAAATGAATTCGTGTGTTCATTTTATAAATCTGCCACAGTTGTAAAGTGAACATGTGTTACATTTGTGAAACCAAGCCACTTTTAGCTAGAAGTTTTCTCTTTCAGCACTTTATCACCTTCCAAGTATTACATTCATACACACACACAGAC